TAGGCTTTCCTGAGATGTTCTTACAGATTCAACCTTGCAATCTGATACTATTTACAGGGCTTTGTAGGTAATTACCAGCATTTTGAATTGGATCCAAAAACGTACTGGGTACCGATATGGGCTACTATGTTCTGAACTTCTGTATCTTCTCCAAAACTGCTACAGATCCAGCACTTTACAGTGTCTCATATGAGTGGTGATCGCAGAATGAATTCAAGGGATAAAGGGGGAAAAATTAAGGAGATATTATATTCTGAACATTTTTCTCATCATCTTCAATAGCTGGTGAGAGGCAGAGGAGGGGGGAAAAGATGGTGAAAAGATTGGGGATGGTAGGCAAACTCAAGTAAGCCTTTTAGTTGGGTTAACCAGATGCAGATAGCAGGGAAATAAGGGTGGGTTGCAATACTTTAAACTTTTACATTAGCTTAGTGTGTCATGAACATATCCTAAAGCCATTATGTTACTGGTCTGGTTTTAGTTTAGCACATGATGTGACTGCAGTCACAGAAACTTGTAAACTTGGTTTATGGCAGGAATAAGCAACATTTTAGTGGCTGCAGGCCAATACTATTTAGTCTAAAGGCTAATGTGGATGTAGTAGCAAAGAAAATGTATGGTGCCCATCAAGCCAGGCTGAGATTTTTTCCTTTTATGAAGAAGTTTAGGAATTTTGTTTGTAAACCATATTCAGCTATTTCAGGACTCACACTAGTTGTTATGCATTTCCAAGCACAGAATGGCAGGAAACCCTGTTGCTTACATACAGCAATTATGCTTTCAAATTTCAACAGCCTGGTCATTGAAAGCTCAGAACTCACAACAATGGGATTCAGGTATTGTATGTGGAGCTACAACTGCACAGTTTATAACCTCAGATTTAGCAGTTAAGTTTAATAATTAAGTTTAGTGTGTGCAAACTGAGTCTATGTTTTGACACAATGTGTTGTCCTTACTGTTGTGGATATTATATTTGATAATCTTAAATAATATTTTCAGAGAAGTATATGACATGATGTCTATTTGCTTGCATGAAGAAGCTTTGATCTTAGGGAGGAAGGACTAGGAAGGAAGCTGGCTGTTGAGAAAACCAATGTAACACAAGTCTTAAAAAGTGAACTTGAATCAATGAGAACAAAGTGATGGGGAATGAGAACACTAACAATTTGAAATATTTAGGACTAGTGTATAAGTGGTGTAAAAAACTGGGTGATGTTTTTTCTGTATTGCTTTGCCATCTTGTGGTTATCCATATTTTTCCAGCCAGACATGGTAGCTCAGTGACAACCTCGAAAACAAATAAGCAAGAAAAGGTTAGACATAGTGAGTGAACAATGGCTTTAAATCATAGTGATATATCACTAACAATCTAGGGGCAAGAATCCTGGTTCTTCTGGAACAGTAGGCACATTTGAGATTTTGAGAACATGTCACAGGCATTCCCATTCTTGAAGAGCTGCCATACACAATGTGGACAATCACAAAACTTTAATTTATCAAAAGCCGAATGGATAACATTGTTCCCCATCTTATTTTCTAGTTTCCTATGCAGTTTGGACTGAGCCACAGTTTATTTTTATCTCCTGGGTAAGTTGTATATTTACAAACAAAGCATTGACTTGCCACTTTTAATTTCCAAAAACGCCTGTAGCTCTTACGTCGAAACACTATATTTCTTCTTAGAAATATGACATTGAAGGTCGGTGCTTGAATTTGTAGCGTATCTATACTCTTGTATTTGATTAAAAATAAAAAAGAGGGTAGTTTTTTTTAAAAAGAACACATTCCAAGTACAGTTACAGAGTCTGGAGGTAGCAAGGAGGTATCTGCAGGTACATTGCCTGATGCTCATAGATACAATATTGAGGATATTAGATCTATGACATATTCATTTTTTACTTTAATAACTCTTATTTTAGAAACTTGATGACTTTCCCTATTTTATTCTCAAACCTAAGAATAGCCTTGTTGCATCAGGCTAAGCCTATCCCAGTTCGTAAATGGATTCAATAATCCCTGTTTAAAGGTCTCCCAATGTTGTAGACAGTAACACATATTTGTGATCAAGCAGTCCCATGGTCATAATGCTGAATTAAAACAGCATTGTCCACCCCTTTTTTAGTTGACAGAAAACAATGGAAATTCCAGCATGAAATTTCCTGCCCATATTGTCAATCCTGCTGATACTATCTCTATTCAGAATCTCTTTGGAGAGATTATTAAATTAAGTTGTCCTGATTACAGCATGATAGGCTGAGCAACTGTCTGACTCCTCCAGATTTATTGTCCCCCCCTCTCGAGCATGTTATCTGCCAATGGGAACACCATTAGCCAATCATTATAGTGGAGGAAGAATAGTGAAGATTTGATAGGACTCTATTGGGCACTTCTAAACCTCTTATTTCTCCTTTTTCTAGACCTAGTCTGTCATAATGCTACTTAAAAAAGGGGGAAGGGCAAAAAAGGGGAATACTATTGTGTTGTGCCCGGCAGGAGCCGTTGGCCACTAGGTGGCAGCAGAGCATTGGATCAGAGGGAGTGTTCAGGGAAACACTTGGGAGTTGTTGCAGGATGCACCCCGTCGAAGGGTTACTCGACGGAAGGAACAACTGAGTACTTACAGGAGACGATTGCAAGCAGCTGTTGCTCATTGGGATCCTCTTCTGAGTATAAAGAGACTGCTGGTGCCACACCCTGGTTGCAGAAGTCAATGTTCCGTTCCTGTTCTAGTGATTGTTCTTGTTCGCGTTCACACATCGAGAGAAGCTAACTTGGATAAGTGGCTTGTAGTGTTTTGGTGTGAGTTATAGGATTTTCTGCCGAAGCTATTATCTTTCTTTATTTGGGCTTGCAGCCAACAAGAGCTTGGACTGAGTAAAAGAAACCTTTTTAGTTACATGGCTTTTGGCTTTCATTCCTGGATGGAGAAGGGGGGTCAGAACACTATTGTATAGCCTTTATTATCATTGTACATCGTGAATACAACAAAATTGGTTTTAGCCTCACTGGTGCAAACGATGACTAATAAGTTGCTGGTATGTATTTTACAAGGGAAGGTACATTCTTATTTAGGATTTCTTTTCTATATGGTCACGTATCACCAACTTGTGGATTCATCTGTCTTAGCCTGAAGGTCCCCAGGTTGGTTCCTTTCAGTGTTACACAACTTCAGTCTGTTATCTTATTTCAGATGCTAGCAACATTATGTTCTATGGAGAGACTAGTAGAATGGTGATAGAAGTTAATCAGCATCAGTCTGAAGCACCGATAGATGCTTCCACAATTGGTTACTTGACTTTATCTCCAATGTCAAAATGACAAAATCTAACAGATTTTATACATCCCCCGAGGTTATCACTGGATAGAATTCAAAATAACGGAGAAAACACAAATTTAATACCAGTACCGCTAAAGAAGTTCTAAGCTGGTCTCATTCATAGACTGGAAATGGAAAGAAGGAAACATCTTGATGAAAAATGGAAAAGAGCTATTGTCAAGGACTGTTTGTGTTGTGGTTCAGTGCAAGTGGGGGGCATAGCCATAATACTTTTGAAATTCTATACAAGTCTTACCTACCTCTTTCATTTATCAACATTCCCTATACTTGGGGAAACTACTTTTGGCAACAGTTCTCTCCAAGATGAATGAGATCTATTTGTAGACTGTTGATAAATGGTTTAACTAACGGTAGAAGCCTTTTATTGTAGAACAGTATCCGGTTCTTACTAAACATGTTGAATTAAAAATCCCATAAACAACAGCCCGTTTTCAGCTAGTGATGTAAACATGCAGTTTCAAATGGTTTGTTAAACATGCTAAATAGATGTCATACACTTTCCAAATAATCACCAGCACATTGCTAGTGGTATGAAGGGATTATTGACGGATGAATGTGAAGCAAATCCAGGTTGTATAACACCATACCTGGAGTTGTTTCTGGCAAAGCAGAAACAGAGCAGTACAGATCAGTATAGTCTGAAATATTTTTCAGGCACCTTCATTGTTCTATGGTGTTGATGACTGAAGCCCAGCAAGACTGAATTAATTCACCTCTCCCTCATCTTACATGCTTGGCATAGTTGTCTGCTTAATTTATTCCTGACCCACCCACCCCCCAAACCCCAGACAGTCTGACCTTCTCTTCTTTGTTATCCTTTCTTGTAAAATCCCTTTTTATGAGGAGGGAAGTACTTCAAGAGGATTGAGAGTTAACTTATTTTCATTGGGTGGGAGAGGGGAGACCAAGCAGCTGAATCAGAAGGTCGGTTGAAGATTATCTGTCTGAAATTAACTGTTGTTCGCCTAACTCGGTTCTTGCAACTGATTGCAATGTTAATTTATGGCTGGATGAGAAAAGTTTTTGATTTACTTGTCTTCCCTCCCTCCCTCCCCCCCTCTCTCCCGCCCATGGATCCTACATTCTTGCTCCCGAACATCAAAAAAGGCAAACACAAGAGTTATTTGTTAGCAAAGGCGCTGCTATCAAGAGCCGCTTCTTTGTTTTTTTGGAACCGATGCAGTGATTGCCTTCCAGTTTGGGGGGCGGGTGCGGGTGGGGTGGAGAGTGGCTTAAACTTAATCATATTCACATGACACAAACCATAAATAAAGAAAAAAAACGAATACTGGGGGGGGAAAAACCTCTCAGAAGTCGGAGCGAGCAGCTTGTCCACAGTTACAGGGAGGGGGAGAGGGAGGGAAGGAGAGAGAGAGAGAGAAGCTGTCAGACTTAGGGGAGGGCGCAGCTTTTCTCAGGCGTTTGAGTTTTAACCCCATTGGAGACGCCGGTCCGGTAAGGAAGCAAAAGGCTGCGGGTAGTAGCTTGCAACAAGAGGCTCGGGACTTCCCTCTTGGCGTCTCTCAGGGTTCGAGGCGCATTAAATCCTCCGCAGGAAACAGGTTTTCCTCTTTTGCGGCTGCCACCCCCCCTCCCGTCCCCTCCCCAATTGCACAGTCAAGGAACCTCATGCTCTGTGCAGAGCGACAGCCCAGGAGGCAGGATGGTTCTGCGGGATCGGCGAGGCGCTAACCAGGTACTGTCACCGGATCGCGGTCGCGTTTTCCACCTCTTGGTGGTTTCTCTGGTGCTCCCGGTGCTCGGGCGTGGGCTGAAGGTGCAGCACAAGTTCGTCTCGCCCACCGCCACTAACAACTTCGCCCTGGATGGGGCGGGCGGCAGGATCTACCTGGCGGCGGTCAACCGGCTTTATCAACTCTCGGCTCCCAACCTGACTCTGGAGGTGGAAGAGCAGGTGGGCCCCAAGGAGGACAACCCCTTGTGCCACGCTCCCCAGCTGCCCCAGGCGTCCTGCGAGCATGCCAAGAAGCCGACCGACAACTACAACAAGCTGCTGCAGCCGGACCCGGAGCAAGGCATCCTGGTGGTCTGCGGCTCGGTCTACCAGGGTTTCTGCCAACTGCGGAGCATGGACAACATCTCGGTGGTGGCCGTCCCATTCCCACCTCGGACAGGTGGAGGAGAAGGCGGCGACCAGGTCACGGTCTTCCCCAGCATGCTCAACGTGGCGGCCAACCACGCCAACGCTTCCACCGTCGGCTTGGTGCTCAAGCAGTCCGGGCAAGACACGAGGCTCTTGGTGGCCGCCACTTACACGGGTTTGGGCAGCCCGTTTTTCCCGCGCAACGCCAGCCTGGAAGATCACCGTTTCGAGAACACGCCCGAGATCGCCATTCGGGCTCTCAACGCCCGCGGGGACCTGGCCCGGCTCTTCACTTTCGACATCAACCCGTCCGACGACAACATCTTCAAGATCAAGCAGGGCGCCAAGGATCGGCACAAGCTCAGCTTCGTCCGCGCCTTCCTCCACCGGGGAAGCCAAGGCGCAGCGCCCTCTCGCCCGGAAGGGGGCGCCTCCGGAGGCCGGAGTTCTCAGGTGGGACCGGGGGGGACCTATTCGTCCCGGGGATCCCAGGCTCCCAAAACCGGCCGACCCCCGCACGCTTTCCCGCCTTTGCCCCAGGGCACCCCGCTTAGCCGCCCGTCGGCCTCCTATGCTTACTTGGCCCTCAACAGCGAGGCGAATGCGCGCGAAAAGGAGAGCCACTCGCACAGTCTTTTGGCTCGCATCTGCTTGGGGGACCCGGCCGAGGCGACCCCTCTCAACAGCAGCGGCGGCGGCAACGGCGAGACGAAAAAGTTGACCGAGTCTTACATTCAAATGGCGTTGCAATGCAGCCACCCCGGAGCCGGCGGAGTCACGCCGGGAGCTTCCAGCGGGGATCTCTTCAACAGGCTGGTCTCCGTCTTTCCCGCTCGCGCCGCCCTGCAGGTGGATCCCGGGAGTCCTTCCTCGCCCCAGCCGGAGGAGTTGCTCTTCGGGGTTTTTGAGAAAGCTGCCTCACCAGGGACCGGGCTTGGCGGTCGACAGGCTCCGCAGCCCTCGGCGCTCTGCGTCTACCGCTTCGCGGAGATCGAGGACGCTATCAGGATGGCCAGAAACTCGTGCTTCGTGGCGCCGGACGCCGACCTGGTCACTGTGCTGGACAGCGTCGTGCAAGGGACCGGGCCTGCCTGCGAGAAGAGGAAAATCCAGGTAAGGACAGGAAATCCAGTAGGGCAGAAAAACCTCACTAAAGTAGTATGGACAAATTGACCAGTGTGGCTGATGCTTGACCTTTATGATGAGTTGCCTGGGTGTGTGAATCAAGCTAAATAGCGGTTTTGCCTAAGTGAACAAGTTGTGGTTTATAAATCGTGGTCTGTGGTTTGTATGTCCCAACCTAGTGCTTTATATTGGGCAAACCATGGCTTAATGAGATTCAAGGCACTTTCTGGAAAGTACTACTAAGGACAATGGTTGGTGATGAATCTGAAAGTAGGGTTAATAAATGTTTCCCAAATTTTAGAAAATCCTCCAATAGTGATGAACTTCAGAGACTGGAAGATGCTGAACAAATATGGAAGACATTAAGTTGGGAAAGGATAGACTAAACCTCCAAGGCAAGTTTCTGGCCTAACACTGCTGTTTCAGAATCAGAGAATCAGATCTCCAAATTTTAGGAAGTTAGCCTTTGGATGAGTTATGGGGAAAATTTCCAAATTTTGTGGAAAATTTGTGTTGGCCTTTGATAAAGAGTAAACCGTTAAGTTTATAATTGCATGAACTTTTTGAATCATAGCCTAAAAAGTTTATTTAATAATAAATTTATTTGGCCTTGAGGTGCTACAAGATGCTTTGTTATTTCAGAAAGCTGCTGTGGTTAGTTTCTAAAGTTATATTCTAGCCTTGCCTGATCATAAGACCAGAACTGGAAAGCATACAGAAGAGGGCAGCCAAAGCAATCAAAATATTGAAACACCTTCCATCTGGAGAAAGCAGTTTAGAGAAAAGATTGGGACCACAATAGAATTGTGCTTAGTGTGGAAAAATGTTTTCTCTTCTTTTCATTTTTGGTCATGGAAAACAATACCAAATTTAAAAAAGGAGGGTTTTTTTAAAGGTATTTTTTAAGTGGTTGCGTGAATTCTTGGCACAATACTATCTGTGATGTTTTATGGACATTTTTTAGAGAATAAATCTAACTCCATGTTCAAAGTAAGCTACCCATAGTCACTTTGTATAGTGAGATGGGTGGTATATAAAATCAATCAATCAATCAATCAATCAATCAATCAATCAATCAAGGGTCAAGGCTTGAAGGATGACTGGTGTTTTCAGAACCTGCTTGTAAATTACCAGAATATATCTGTCTTATTATATGCTAGTATTCTGTGATATAAATATTGGGAAGTTTTGGCTCAACTGATATTGATGAGTGATGACAGCTGCCCCCAGTCAGGGATGCTGCAGTTGTATTTTAGCAGTATTTGGAGAGCCACAGTTTTCTTATCCTTGTATTAAGGCCATGTTAAGTATTTACAAAATGCATATTAGATTGTGTAAATATTTACCACAAATATTTTGGAGTTTTATTTAGTTCATGAAAGCCAGGGTCATAGTGTATATTGATGAAAGTATTGGACTAGGATTGAGAGATTTACGAGCTAGACCTGTTAGTGTTAGTTCTCACTGTTTCTTCTCAACAGCTGATATTTAAGGCTTACTGTGTGTAATTCAGACATAATATTCAGCCATTGAGGCTTTAACTATAAAGGTTACAAAACTCTCTTCCATGCACTTTGTCTAGTTTTGTTTTAAAGCCAACTGAGTTGGGTGACCCTTATCATATTTATTGCCAGCAAATACTGTAATACAATTTTGCATTGTTTAATGTTGTGTTTCCATTTATCAGTCCCAAATAGCTCTGCATTTAGTTTTAATGGCACTTAATACTAACATTATGAAAGAGAGAGAAAAAAGGTCTAATTATGCATTGAATCCTTTTATATTCATTTGGCACCTTCCCCCAAATCACCTTTGCTCTCAGTTAAAAATCTTCAAATATTTCTTCCTTGCAGGGACATGTTTCAGCTCCACAATATATTTTTTACAGCCATAGATTTATAGAATGGCACCACAGATATGCAATCTCCTTATAATTCTCTGTGTTGAGTTCACTTTCTTTGTTTTGCCGAAGTTACTTTGGATTGAAATTTTTATTTCATATTATATTTCATATTCATTCATTATTATCCATTATTCCATGATTATTGCTGTCAGTCACTGCACACAAGGCCCCATCAATGTTGAGTTGCACCAACACAATAACTTTGCATATTGAATTACATTTGCCATTTTAACACTTCTTCAACCAGGAGAGACCATTGTGGAATTCATTGCAAATGCTTTTCATTTTACGTCCTGAATAAATTACCATTACAGTATAAGCATAAGCTCACTTGGTTACCTTATTGTTTGAAAGGTACTTTTGGGGGCAACCATGACCTGGATGACTGAGAATCTCCATAGACAATTATCTTACTATATTTACCTAAATTATCATTTATATATTTTTTAATTTCCAAAATCCACTTAGTATATCTCTTCAATGTGAAATTGTCCATTTAATTGTATTGTTCTTTAGCAAGTTACCAACTGATGACTACACCTGTTCTCTTAATATAGAGTTTTGTCAGCAGCTTTTGATGGTGGAATTTATTAAAGGCGTTCTGGAAGTTGTAATCGACTGGTTTGATTGTGTGCGATCAAATTGTTGTCAAGTCTTAGTGACTACATCAACTATTTCCATGATAATGCATCCCTAATCTGACCTTCCAAGGCTTCAAACAACCAAATTGTAATAGTACTGGTTTAAACATAGATCATAAATAAGTTAAAATCTATGCAGAGCTGAAGAATTTAAAAACTACACCTATGTATAACTGATCTGAGATGGTTTCACCTTTCAAGAGCAATGCCAAAAGTATCGTCATACTT